GTAAAAAGTTTATATATGGCAAAAGGCATCATTTGGCTTCACATCCGGAGAACTCTTGTGGATATTGGAGTTGTGTGTGTCTCTTGATCTTGATCCTCTGATTTTATAGGATTCACTTGTGCTCAAGGAAGTGCACTATTCTAATTCTGAATGTGCGTCTTCATTCTGGTCTGGTGGAAACAATCCAAATATTCATACAGCTCATCAAACACTTCCATTTGCTTCCACAGCTTGCTACTGCAATCTGTCCATTTCCATCATTTGAGGGGCGATACATTGATGGAATTCAGGAGTCCTCACTGCCACGAATATTCATTTTTCTCTACATATATTTGTGATTCACAAGTCTAAAAATCATTTAAACTAAACACAGGAGGGCATAGGTTATGTGTAGACCACACTTTGTGAGTCTGTATTCACTTGATATTCTGAAGCAGTAGTTAGTCGAAGAGTAACCACATATTCTGATTTCACAAAAGCTGATATGTTCTAACTGTCTTGGGCCATTAAAACAACACATGCAGTATTATATTAAATGGATCTGTTGTATTGGACTATGCTTTAATAACTAGACCTACAGTAAATACTTGTAAATACTTTGCTGATGATGGTTTGAAGTGCCAGTATGTCTTCCAATTCCTGTTTTTCTTTTTCTTTGGCTAGTCACGCTAACGCACCTTGGTAACACACCCCTGTCCTTTGGTGATCTTGTAACAGTTCTCACACATATGGCCAACCGTCCGGTAGTCATTCACAAGCTCTGTAACACAGTCCTGCACTGTAGCAAGTGAAGTCAGTTTCACAGCCCGTCTTCACTCGCTCTGTTTCCTCACCCCTTACTTCCAGGCCCATGAGGACAGCCAGGAGAGTCTGACCTCCCTCCCACGTCGGGACACCATGGGCAGCTTCCTCCCTGACAGCAACTCCTACGAGCTCCTCATCATTATCGGTATGTAGAGGCAAATTCACACCTGCACATGTTTGTATTGATTTGCCTAAGTATTGCCTAAGTATTGCTTCTTCAACACATCCTGGGTTTTTTAATAAAAAAGGTATCCAAATGGTAATAATGTAATACTTTCACTTTGCAATGCAGTTTCTTGACCTGTAACTAAAAAGTAATATTGCTAAGCTATGCGTTTGTATGGTATTTTACAACATAAATACTAAAATACAAAGGCCTGGTGGATACTAGTGTAACAATGACACGAACAGTTATGTAAATTAAGTGTGTCTGTGCTGTAGGCCGGGGATTGGACGAGTTGATGACAGTGAACCTGGCTCGATACAGACCCACCGGGGAGCACGTAGCCATCCGACGGATTGACTTGGAGTCGTGCACTAATGACATGGTTACCTACCTGCAGGTCTGCATCAGCACTTGATCCTATCACTCTGACATGACTCAGCTCCCCTGCAGTCTTTGCCTCTCTCTTGTTAGTGGATAAAATTTCCCTTCTGTCATCTCGCCGCTTCATTGGGAATACTTATGTAACCCCTGTGTCTTTGTTCTGATTAACTTTTCTGTCTTTACTGCTCGCCCTCCTATTTCTAATTAGAATCAGAATCCTCTTTTGTTCTCTGCCTGTCATCTCGACATAATGAGGTATAATTTCCTTTTCTCTGCCTCGCAGGGTGAACTACATGTGTCAAAGTTGTTTCACCACCCCAGTATTCTGCCCTACAAGAGCGTCTTTATAGCTGAAAATGAGCTGTGGGTCATCACGCCCTTCATGGCTTATGGTAAAAAAAAAAATACACTTAAACTCACTGTTATATGTAATAAAAGTATGTTAATATAATATAATATTTTAAAGTAGCCTGTACTAATAGAGAGCAGCTTTCCAATTGTGATTATCTGTGTTTGATGGTATTTCAGGGTCTGCCAGAGATCTGATCTGCACACATTTCACTGATGGTATGGCGGAGCTTACCATCGCTTACATTTTGCTGGGCATGCTCAAAGCTCTTGAATACATTCACCACATGGGATATGTACACCGGTAAGATACACTTGTAAACTGAGTTTTTAGAGGCAAACATGTCTTTTTGTACCACATAGACAAAATATTTGGAAACTGTTCAAGAAATATTTAAATTGTCTCCTGGAATTGTCTTATAGTCAGGGTGGAAACAGCATGTGAAACAGTATGTATGCCATAATGGGACACTGAAACACTCCACTGAAAGCCAAACTAAAGACATTTTATTAGGTTTAGAGGAGGTGCAATTGACACAATGAAGCTGTTGCATACTGTAAAATCCTCCCAGGGAACTGTTATGTAGTATCCAGGCTGACTAACAGTTGTTGGGGAAGGAATCAATAATCATTATGTCATAGTTGCAGTTTATTTCTATATTTCTGTTTTAATAAATTGACAGTATCGATAAATCAACATGACATATAGGTCATTGTGATATTCAGTGTCTTAAATGTCTTTGGTTATGTGCAGGAGTGTGAAGGCCAGCCATGTGTTGATCTCAGCGGACGGACAGGTCTGCATGTCCGGTCTACGGAGCATCTTCAGTCTGATCCGTCATGGCCAGAGGGCCAGAGTTGTCCACGACTTCCCCCAGTACAGCGTCAAGGTGCTGCCCTGGCTCAGCCCTGAGGTGCTGCAGCAGGTACAGTACTGCATTCCTTCACAGTCAGGCATTATGTTATACTGTCCCTGCTCCTGGTCCACATGTTTAAAATGCTGCAGTCAAAGTCCAACAGTTCACTATGCTGGATTTGTCAGCTAAATTAGAAGTGAAATGGTGATGACATTGACAATAAATTTAATATGTGAATGTTTTTTTTTCTCAGAACCTGCAGGGCTACGATTCTCGGTCAGACATTTATAGCCTTGGCATCACAGCCTGTGAGCTTGCAAATGGACATGTGCCCTTTAAAGACATGCCAGCTACACAGGTGAGAAGAGACCTATCAACTCACTAGCTGCTCTTCTGCATCACAGTATCTGTTTTTAGCCTAAATTATCAGGGGCAAAGAAAAAAGAAAACTATGGAGTACTGTACTAATAATATTAACCTTGTTCCATTTTAAACTGTACATTGATTAAAGGGCTCTATCTCGTCAATTAAAAGGTTAAAAGATCTGCAAGCTGGTTTCCTGAAATCAAAGCATAGGTAAACTTAACACTCTCATTATCCACAGATGCTGCTGGAGAAGCTAAATGGGACGGTGCCGTGTTTGCTGGACACCACCACTATCCCGCCAGAGGAGCTGTCGTTGAAACCTTCTCGCTCTGGGGCCGACTCTGGGATCTGCGAGGGTCCAGGACCCGGAGGTGTTCGGCACTCCAACGGAGAGCCCTCCTCCTCGTCCTCGGGACACCCCTACAACCGGACGTTCTCTCCGCACTTCCACGCCTTTGTCGAGCTTTGTCTACAGCGAGACCCAGAAAAGAGGTTTGCCTTTGTCTTCCTTGCATGCTTAAATGTTTTATACACCATGTTGTAGAATTGTTAAGCTTCAAGACTATTCATCGTTTTCTCTTTGTTTTCCTTCAGACCATCTGCCGCCACTCTCATAGGCCATCCCTTCTTCAAACAGGTGTGTAAGATATCAGGTTATTACTGTTTTATTCTGTTACCTTGGTCCTTTCTTCCTCTGGTACAACTGTATTCCTAGCTTAGTAACTAAAAGCGAATGTCATTTCCCTTTTATGTCTGTTCCTCTAACACCAGGTGAAACAGGACTTTGTGGTGTATTAGTTCAGAGGGGGAGTTTTCAGAGTTCAAACAACCAATTTATACTTACTGTATGGGCATAATCCAAAACAATAAAACTAAAGATTTCCTTAGCTGTCTGCCTAAAATTGCTCCACCAGCCCATTCATTTTTTCCTCTTACTTTAATGCTATGTGTGATGTGAAGAAGAAAAAAAGTAATATTTAAAGATTGTCCTCAAGTGTTCTGTTTTCACCCTCTCAGATCAAACGGCGGCCCTCAGAGGCGCTGCCTGAGCTCTTGCGGCCCGTGTCGCCCATCACCAGCTACGAGAGCTCCCACCCGCAGGACTCTCCCTCTGGACTGGCTAGTCTGGAGTCGGGTCTCAGCCACTTGGAGGTGGACGACTGGGACTTCTGACAATGGAGGACTTGGTGGGGAGACACTTGTAGGATTCTGACGGGAAACTCTCTGAGCATAGAGGACGAGCTTTGTTTTTGTAATGGTCCCCTTGTAAATAATTTAAATATCAAACTAAAAAGGGTTGCTGTTCTCAGACAGAGGTTAAAAGCCAGCAGCCATCTTGCCTCTTCTTGATGTTTCTCGCACGCTTTGGTTCTCTAGATATGCACAGACTCTTGCACTGCACTGATGGCCTCTCTGTTTATTTACACACACACACACAGACGTTTACAGATTGTACTCACACATGACAACCCCCCTGGAGCCAAAACTTTACAGGACTCTTCTATTCCTCATGCCGTTGCTGAGGTTTCAGAGGAGGGTCTATTGATCTAGATGTAGCCTAAACCGAAAGATTCTCACGAAATGAATCAGTGGGAAGCTGCTACTAAATATTTAGAGGGGACACTCTACCTCTTGTTTGAACGTGGCCGCTCGATGTGGCCCATCTGGTCAGTGGGACCACCGTAAGGGTGCACACTGGTCCTCACAGCTCACTCAGCCCCCTCTACACCAGATGGAGAGTATCGACTTTACGAACAGCATGTACACGCATTTCTTAGCTCTCTGGCTGTGTTACAGTGTAAACATGTCATGCTTTACTTTTGTTGCACACAGGTTAAGCTTTACATCGGTTTAGTTTAACCTTCAGAGCATAGAAGTATGTATTTCCTTGAACTTACTCTGGGTGTGATGTTACTTATGTCAAACGTGAATGTTACATTGGTGCTTGTTTTGTCTGCTTGTACATTTGAATGTTGGGGCAAAACAAAGTGTTGCAAATGTCAAACTTGACTTTTAACAATAAACATTGTTCACTTTGATGTTTTAACTCGATGGTACCACACAGTGAGGCAGTAAACTATCTTAAAAAAGGTTATTTTATTCCAAATTTACACAGACAAACACATTAGGGGAGGGTTGAAAAGGGTTCGGATGTCGCTAATCTTCGTCATCTGATGGTGGCTGGTCTTCTGCAGCTTGGCGTTTCTCCATCTTGGCCATCAACTCTGGAATAAAGAGAAAATAATAGAAAACATTGATTGAAGGGAATCATTAAGTTGCATCCATTAGAAGTAGGTCTTGCCTGCTTACCTTTAGCGGGGTTGAAGACACCGTTGGTTTGAGTGTTGCACACATAGCAACGCTTGGACTTGCGGTAATGCTGAAGGGCACAGGTCTCACAGAAATAGTGCTTGCACCTGGGAGACATTTGACTGGTTAACACTGGTAATAAACAAGGCACTGCACAGTGAAAGAGCAGAGGACAAGAGGCTTACTTTGTGACAATGGGATTCTTGAAAGACTCCCTGCAGATGAAGCACTTAAAGGGCATATCCTCGTCGTCACTGCTCACCTCGTAGTTCTCATCGTCTAGATGAAAGCACAGTTTTGTTCAGGGAATGCTGATGTGGGCGCACACAAAACTCACATCAGCTCCTCCTTCTGAACTCACCATTGGCTCCGTATCTGCCCTCTTCCAGTTCTCTCTCAATCTGCCACCCGTGTTTGTAGTCTGATCTGTCGTGAAGGAACTTGCAGCTGTCTAAATGCAGGAGAGAAAGATATGACCACTGAAGTGAATGGTCGAGGTGTCAAGTTTTACGTAGTTATTCAACAGATGACTGATGTTTTAATAGTAAAAAAAAATCTCATATCCACCTCCAAAGCCACAGAAACCAGTCTCCTTATAGTCCTTGCAGATGTCCGGCTGGTAGTCCCACCTGACTGTGGCTCTCAGGTGTTCGGGAGCTCGGATTGGTCCTTTTCTGTTGAAAATATCAAATGAAATTAAATGAATCAACAACAATTGATTACATATTAGCATTCATAGGTGAAGAATGTCTTAAGAAAGCAAACACTAAGGAAGCTCGTGCTCACCTGACCATGCCAGAGGAAGCATTGCCCATGGTGGTATCTTTTGGTTTGATGAACTTTTGGTAGTTATTGATCCCGCGGTAGATTTTATCGTCCTCTTTACCCGTCAGCTCCTGTTCAAGGAGAAAAAAGGATTTGTCCAGTAAGTAAACTTAAAATTATCCGGCAGAAAAAAAAATGTGTGCATACTGTCACGTTAAAGCAGATGTTTTAATTTTGATGAGCATCTGTTACATCTCCAGAAACAATCCATGAAGTACTCAGCAACAATAACGTATGAGAAAACAATAAAATTATTACCGGTGTACCTTGATAAATAAAGTGGAAAACTCTTTTTTCCACCTGTTCTTTTATTAAAAATAGTAATCTCAATAATTATCCATATTGACAGTAATGAAACATTTTTCAGCCAGGTATGACTTCGTGCTGTTATACAACACTTAGAACTTTTTACAATAGCAATGCAGCCACTAGTTTGCCAACACTTGCAGAAAATATATCAAAATGTATGAAGAAACTCTTCATAAACGTATATTCAATTATAGCTTTTCGCAAAAAACGTGATCTCCTACCTCTTGGATTTTCTGACTCCTCTCAAAGATGGCCTGAGCGTCCTTGTCTTTCTCTGTGTCCAGCTCATATGTAGCGGTTGCACCCATGTCCTCGGGCCCCTCGGGTTTCTGTTTTAGAACAAGATTGAGAGAAAGAGTTAGAAATATAGCAGACTGTGAATGGCACAAACCAAAAACAGCTCAGAAAAACATGGATGTAGAACAAGAGCAGATTACGTCCCCCTTTTCTTATTGACACCTTAACAAAAACTATTACAGTATATGGTTCCTACCACTCGTACAAAATGAAATATGAAGGAGAAGTCCCAACGTACCGCTGACCGTGTGGACTTGTAGGCAACCGTGATCTTCTTGTCTTCTTTGTCCTCTTCACTTTCACTGGAAGATACCACGTCTTTCTCCACCTTCTTTGACTGAACAGGGACAACACCAGGGTCAAGCTTACCTCACCATTAAACTCCCTTATTATTATTATTATTATTATTATTATTATTATTATTATTATTATACCCTTTGAATCATGGGGTTGACTCGAGTGTCTTTCTTTCCTTTTCTAACCACAGAGCTCTGGTCCTCATCACTGTTGCCATCTGTAGGAAAAAATAAACTGAACTTATAATTTCTGTATTGTTTTTATTATTTCTATAAACCAATAAAAAGAGGAAGTCACAGTTCTCCAAATTCCGAGGACACTGGAACGCAGCACAAACACTCGATGTTTTTACCAGCGACGGAAAAACAAACTTCACAAAATGTCCAGTTTACAGAGTTGTTCTCACCTTTCTGTTGTTTTTACGGCCCTGGGCTATTACTAGATACATACCGTAATTAAAATACAAGAACAGAAGAGCACACAAACACTTACTTTAGCGTACATTAAGTGTTTGTAAGCTACGTTAGCGACTTTGAGTCGGAGGTTTCAGGGCCGTTGTCAAAGCGACGCACAAAGGGGGATTAAAGGGAGAGAAAAACATGAGTAACATTAATATTTTATACCTTTGTCGCTGTCGCTTGCTTTCCTCTTTCGTCCGGAGAATTTCTTTGTAGATTTTTTGAACAAGAAAGTGCAAGGACCTGCTTTTGGCTCTTCAGAGTCCGCCATCGTTTCTTCAAGTGATAAATAACCGCTGTCGCCACAGCGCCCCCTAGTGGCCCGGAGTGTGTGTGCGCCTCCTGCTGGTCGAGGGGGGGAATTACACCTGTCCGTGATTAATTAATTGTATTATTATAATTATTAATAAATAATAATGATAAATATTAGTACATTAAACAAATAAATGTACTTTTATAATACACACAAGGTATGGAAGTATGGTAATTGTTTTAGTTCTCCATTATGTATGTACTATGTATGTTTATTGGTGTATTGTTTTAATGTTTTACTGACACTGGTGGGCTTACTGGGTGTCTGGTAATGTGTGAACAATGTCTTTGATTGTTTTTAGTATTTATGTTCAATCTGTGCCCAAACTGTAAACCAAAGTGCCTTAGAGGAATAAGATATCAAGGTAATCAATTAATTTGGTATCCGTGAAGGTTTACAGTATCTTTTACTGTTAAAATCAATGAAGTCTGAAATTGGGAACTCTATTTATTGCTCTTGATTTTTTTTTTAAATACAACATTATTTCCAGAATAAACAAAAAATAGATATAGTAATCGACAGTTCTGTTGTTAGTATGAGCAGAAAAAACAAAAACACGTATGCAAACAAAACAAATGAGTTTACCAAAGCAAATACAAATGAACAAAGATGACTTTCGTTGTGTTTTGAGGGTGTGTTTATATATTGAAAGCTATGTAGTACGATTATTCAATAAATACGTGAACGCATCATTTCCAATGCTCTCTCAGCTGTGCCAAATGCATGACGTACGCTGTAAAACAACCGGAAATAAATGTGAACATAAAAGCATCATCACGCAGATAAGCGCCGGGGATTTTACTTCGAAAATCCTAACCGGAAGTTAAACATTGAATCACCTCTAACTTGACGCCTGTCGCCGCTTTCCTGTCCTCCTCCTCCTCCTCCAGCAGCAGCAGCATCCGCGGCTCCCCCCGCAGAGGACAGCGGGTGTTTGTAGGACACAGGAGGGAAGGGGGGTCCTGGCCTGGGCACGGATCCCGAAGAGGCCCCGGGGCCGCCGCTGGATGGAGTCGGGCTGCATTCAGACCGCAATGGCTATGGGTCTGACATCGAAAAAGGCGTCTGCTCGGAGCGTCGGCGTGGAGCGAAAAAACCTCATCACGGTCTGCAGGTATACATCACGACACCGTCGACCGGCTGTATTATCTGCCCCCCCTGCATGCTGCATGAAGGAGGGTGTTTATTTAACAAGCTCATCATCCCTGCGCTGGTTCCTGGGGGGGGAAGCAATGGCAGCAGGACGCAGAGTAGATGCAGAAAATTGCACACATTTGTAGAAATGGGAAGGGATGAAGAGGAGGCAGGTGCGTTTTCACCTTCACATACCCCTGCCATCACACCCGCTTGTCTAAAAAAAACCCATAAAACCTACATTACTCCTTTAATTCTCTTCTCAAATAATGAGTTTATAGCATCCTTTTTGTTCCCTGCATGCACTTTTTCTGTTACCATTTCCCTCTTTAAAGATCATCATCATCTCTGGTGTGACATTCGTGCAGCGTCCCTCTAAAATCTCTCACGCAGGAGAGTCTGTTTTTACTTTGAACAGGTAGAGACACCTGCTTGATCTTTCGGTCCGTGCTCATAAATGCAGCTTTAATGGATGAAAATCAAAACCAAAATCAGCCCAACAGCAGGTTTCTCCCTCCATCACAGTCAGGTTGAGTGTGGGACAAGGGCATTTGAAGCAGTGCAAGGACTTCTCCTCCTCCTCCTCCTCCTCCTCCTCCCTCATCATCATCATCAGTGTCCCTCAGCCTACACAGTACAGTGAGTCCTGATGGACTGTACATGTGCAGTCTCTATATATGACGGTCTTGTGCAGCGTGACGAGAGGTCAGGGCTGTAAAAGTCTGAGCTGAGAGGAACCTTTTTGATTTACCTGATGAGATTGTAGTTTTGCTGCATGTCCCGTTGCTAAGTTACATCTCTTGGCTTTAGTGTTCACATGTTTTTGGGCGATTTAAGGAGGTTTCTTTTTCACAGTGTTGTCGTTTATATGCACGTCATCCATATTAAGGCGTGTGTTGTGTGTCTCAGTGTGATCTAAAGGAGCAGTTTACAACCTTTTGTAAAAGAAGTCGCAACCACTAATCACAGATTGTGTGTTCACTGTAGTCGGCCCCGTCAGTGTGGACATGATTAGTGAGTAGTTTGACAAAAGGGGAGGCCCAGAGGATGTCATTGAATCCACTACTTCACAAAAATAAAGCATACATTTAGAGAAAAGTCAGGAAAGATCTGCCTTTTTAATATGTTTTTCTTTTTATTCCTTCGGATTTGGGAACCCGTGACATAAATAAGGCTAAAAGTTGAAAATCAATGTATTATAGTATCTAATCTATATGTAATCTATCTAAACAGTAACCTTATTAATCATTGTAGTGTATCTGAGGGACCCATTAACATAATATTAGTGATCACCTTGTTAAATGGTGTCTTAGTCTAAAAAAAAAGTTCTATATACAAAAAATATACACACAATAATGTTGTGCATTGATGATCCTATAGTTTCCTCAGAGGTGGTATTCTTACCAGGAGCCGTTGTTTAAAGGAAATCCTTTTGGTATTATTTACAGTCATGTAGGGTATGTTTACTTTATAATAGCAACTCCAGCTCAGACTTAAAATGCACGCATGATATAGGCGCTTTTAACAATTGTTTTCATTATCAATCAATCAAAATTTCCTCATTATTTGATTTACTATGTATAAAATGTCAGAAAGATACTGAACAATATAGATTTATAGCTCCTTTAACACTCCGAAACCCAAATATATTAAAATTACAGCCGTAAAAGCAAAATTACATCAAGAATTTTTGGCATTTCTCCTTTAAAAATTGCTTAAATGATCAAAATAGTTGATTATTTTTTGCTTTTGAACAACTAATTGTCTCTTTTTGATATAGATATTTTATAGTGGCGTTACCCTGCTTCATAGTATTTTTATATTCTGCGATATCACCAGAGACTTACAGCTTTACTTTGATGCTTTTATAGTGGTCTAGTCACATTTATTACAGCATTACTCTGGGTCTTTAATTGTAAATTGACTATAGTCATAAATGATATTGTAAAGAGGGACGTAATTATTATTCTGTAGTGTGCAGAGGCGTTCTGCCAAAGTGACATCATGCTCTTAACTTTTCTTTTCCTGGGACTGTCTCTGTCTTCGGTTGTATTCAAAGTGATTGTACAGGGGATTTATAAAACAAATTAAGACTCAAGAAGACAATGTCAAGACACCTCAAATAGACACACAATCAAGCGTTTTTTTTATTCCAGTACCTTTTCTGTCCAAGGTCCTGTCTGCATTTTAGTGACACGTACAGTGAAGCAGAACACACAACATAACACAGAGCATGTCTGCAAAGAAAGAAAAGTTCTCACGAAGGACTTACGACACAGAGGAAGATTAGCGAGGGCACAAAAAGACTGTTGTTTTCAGTTTGGCCTGACCGTGCTAAGACCAATTTAATCATTTAAGCATTTTAATGACAAGCACACGAGGACAAAGACAAGAAATAAATCTCAAACAGCTTTCCATCAGTAATGCTTACTACACAGTTTCTTTCCATTTTCCTAATGAACATGACATTGATTAGGTTCAGTTGGAGGGCAACTTCTTCCAGGCAAGTCTGTGTCGCTGTCAGATCTGCATCTCCTCATTCGTGATGTTTCTGACCTTCTTTGTTTTAAAAATGTTTTTTTTTTTCTTCTTGATGCCATTCTGGTCAGAGTTGATTCAAGTAGTCAGAGGTTGTTGTGTGTTCGTACAGTCTCATTGGAGAGAGATCCTGAATCAGCAGTGTGGGCCTCTGGCTGTGCATTGAAGCCGGCTGGGCGTCATGTTGGTGCAGGATGCGAGATCCAGGCTCTGTCGTGCTGCTGAGACACAGCTGCTTCCACAGCTTGAACTGCTGCCTGGCTACAGTAGCTAAGCTGACGTTAGTGCTCGATTAGTACACCAGGCCAAGCCTTTATTTTCCCCTAATACATATGTGTATATATAAAGTCAGACCTCTTTTTTTCCCCCTCGCTGTCACATCATACACGTTTAAAATACAATCAGCACACACACAGATTAACATTTTCAATTCCTAATTCATTTGGTGAAGTTATATCTTTTTGTGGGACTTCAGAGAAAAAGGGGGGGGGTTTCTGTTCACATTTGGGTTTTGGGTCTTGTTACTAGGGGGTCATAACAGAGACAAAACTGGCGTCACAGTGTATTTTCTGGCATAATGTGGGTCACAAGTACCAGGCACAGAAAGTTGCCTAATGTCTGCTGTAAGTGCCGGGTTTACAGTTTCAGACTCAATAGAATAGAACCAATTATAATTAGACACCCGACACCCATATGTACAGCAATAGACATTTGTGTATCGTAAAGGAAAACCTGATCAAACATTTTGACCTCCACAGGGAACATTTTTTCTGCGTGAGGCCTGTGTCAGGGACTTAAAGGCGTTACAGGAAAGTTCTCTCACGGCACTGAAACCTAGACTTGAAATTAAAAATAATGATGGCAGAAAAAAGGTGAAAAAGTTGTCAAGTAAGAAGAATACTTTGAGGGTAATGTGATACATGAAAATAAACATGATTTTAGCTGCAGTGTTTTTTTGTGGTTTTTTTTACCTGGCAGCATCAGAAAAACCCAAAGGAACTCTGTCGTAATGGCTTTGAAGAGACTTGGTGATATTTATCATGTCCACAGTGACAACAGTGTCATCGTGATCTACTGTATCTCTGTGCTGTTGCCACTAGCAACAGGTTTTTATCTTAACGTGGCAGGGCTGAGGCTTTTTTTTGCAGTCGGTGGGAATTTTCATGCAAATCCAGTTTAACTTTTGTTTATCAGAGCTGGATTTGAAGGCCACATGCTGTAGTGTAATGTCTAAAGAAATTTCTGTTTTGTTGCTTTAGTCTGGCTAAGAGCTCTTGTTGCCGCTGTCCGTGACTGGTAGAGC